GCGGAGGGAAGAGGGAGGGCGAAGGTTGAGCGACGAGGCTTGAGATCGAGGAGGGAGAGGGAGAGAGACGGGACTAGGGAGAGGAGAGGTCAGGGAGAGGGGGAGGGGAGGGGAGGGAGACGGAGAGGGGGAGGGAGAGGAAGAGGAGAGGACGGGAGAAGAGAGGGGGAGGAGGGAGAGGAGAGGGAAAGAGAGAAGAGGGAGAGGGGAGGGAGAGGGAAGAGGGGAGGACGAGGAGAGAGGGGGGCGAGAGGAAGGGAGGAAGAGAGACGGGAAGGGAGAGGGAGAGGAAGAGAGGGGAGCGAGAGGGAGAGGATGAGGGGAAGGAGAGGGAGAGGGAGAGGGGAGGGAGAGGGGAGGGATTAGGGAGGAGGGGAAGGATAGGGAGAGGGGAAGGATTAGGGAGAGGGGAGGGAACGGGGACGGCAGAGGGGAAGGGAGGGGGGAGGGCGAGGGGGAAGGAGAGGGAGAGGTAGAGGGGAGAGAAGGGGGAGTGAAGAGGTGAGCAGGGGGAGGCGGGGTGGGAGGGGGCGAGGGGCGAGGGGGAGGGAGGGGGGAGGGGAAGGAGAGGAGAAGGGAGGAGAGTGAGGAGAGGGCGAGGCGAGAGAGGGACGGGGGAGAGGGAGAGGGAAGAGAGAGGAGAGGAGAGGGAGAGGGGAGGGAAGAGGGAGAGGGGGGAGGGGGAGAAGAAGGAGGGAGAAGATAGGGAGAGGGAGAGAGGATAGGGAGAGGGGAGGGATAGGGAGAGATGGAGAGATGGAGAGAGGGAGAGGTGGAATAGAGGGTAGGGGATGAGAGGATGGGATGGGGAGGAGTGGGGCTGGGAGAGGGTGAGGATGGGAGAAGCGTGAGGGAGAGGGAGAGAGAACCCAACCTGAAAGTCAAACCAAGGGAAGTGCGAAGACACGAGACCGAGCAAGTGAAATAATTTTCCACAAGTGTGTGAGTGTGTGTGTGAACTCGCTAATGGATACATGCATTTCATTACCTTTTGCATGGCCGATTTGAACGGAAATTAGGGCGAAATCTGACCCAAATCTGGCCCACGCTCTGTGAATGATAATCTAGGTGCTCGGATCAGCGAAATCTGGCACTCGGTATTTCTTATCTTGGACTGATAAGAAATGTAGCGAGACCTTTGAAAATTGGCTTTGGTTTTAACTGTATCGGGAGGAAGAGAGAGAGAGAGAGAGGAGAGATGAGGGGAGAGGCGAGAGAGAGAGAGGGAGAGAGAGGGAGAGGGAGGGAGGGAGAGGAGAGGGAGAGGAGAGGGAGAGAGGAGAGGGAGAGGGAGAGGAGAGGAGAGGGAGAGGGATGAGAGGGAGAGGGAGAGGGAGGGGAGAGAGAGAGAGGAGGAGAGAAGAGAAGAGAGAGAGAGAGAGAGAGAGAGAGAGAGAGTGAGTATTCAGTTTAGTTACACTTGAAATTTGGTGAAGGTTATTGATAGTTACCCTGTTTTCTGGACTAAAAGTTGTAAGCCTATAGAGTGCACCCAGCTAGGTGTCGCTGACGTTCACTACCTTTTTCGATGGCGTGGTGTGTTGCTCCTGACTCGGCATCGGTCGTGCTTGTCCTGTTGCAAATGTCAGGAATTAGTACACCAATCCCTGCTTCTCCATGAGGATCAGTAGGGGCATCACAATAGATTTCAAGGGGGGGGGGAGAGGTACTATGAGGGGATAGAGAATTTCATCTAGATATTTCAGGTAACGGCCTTTTAGCTTTTGTTACTGAAGTCACGGATTTAGGCCCTGTTAATTTATCACTGTGAACATAAACGCGTAATCCATGCCATAGTGCAGTAAATGTTGCTCCTAGGATGTTCATAGCATCAGTGTTTCCACACATTGAAGCTGAGAGAAGGTGGGAAGTTTTTGGCCTTCCATTCTAAGTTGGACTTTGTGAGCTTCAAGTATCGAGGACGCCGAAGTATCGAAGACGCCGAACATGCTTCTATAATCAATTTCATTAGACAAAGCAAGGGAAATTTGCGGTCGGGAATGAATCTACTGAAGTCTGATACCGAGAATGGTGCTGCCTTGGGTAATGCGACTGCGAATTAAAAGGAGGTCTAGCTCTCTCTACATGAGAATTTCCGCTGTCATTGGGCATTTTGTGGCAACCGAAAACCGGGCTCGTAAAATCTATCGTGGGCCTAACGAGGGAAATGTACATCAACCTTAGGACTCATAGGGAAGCACCTGTGTATCTGTTATAAAGTGTAGGGGGCATAAGCACTCCAAGTAAGGTTTCTAGATGTTTTGAACAGTTTCCCGAGTGAAGCGGGAATTGCGAGACATGAGGTGGGGAGCAATCACCGTAACACCAAGACACTTGCTTATAGGTGTTAGTTTTTCAATAACTTGTCCATCTTAATCTTGGAGTGTATGGTAGTTTATGAGACTTGGAAATATACTTAGTCCTGATGGGGTTGATAATGAGTCCAAGGGAAGCATATTTTTTGCTGAATCTCTGAACATATTCCCTCCTAACAGAAACCTAAATGAAAATGATATCAGCATATGATGTGATGCTGTATAGGTCTCCTAACACACTGTTAAGCTTGCCAAGGGAGTACTTAATTATGTTGAATATTGAAGGCGACAAAACTCCTCCTTGTGGTTGTGGAGTCGCTCAACTCACATAAGTGCTGTAGTTTCCTTGGTGCTATACTTTCGCTCTTCTCAAAGACAGAAAATTCTTTATCCAAAGAGCGAGCCTTATATGGGTAAGAATTTTTTTCGTTCTTGCATCTCACATAGACATTGTTTCTTTCAATTTTTCAATTCAGACGGTCCCTTCGTCTTGCTCTAAGGGTCCATTTGAGTACCTGGGATACTTATATTTATACTATATTTATATACTTATATTTATATTTATATATACTTATATTTACTTATATTTATATTTATATATACTTATATTTACTTATATTTATATTTGTATATACTTATATTTACTTATATTTATATTTATATTTACCTTATATTATATTTATATTTACTTATATTTACTTCTATTATTTCTTATATTTATATTTACTTATATTTATATTTACCTGGGATACTTGTATTTACCTGGGATACTTATATTTATGTGTGCAAAGCTTTGTGTTCGCGCAGGTGTCCAGGGGGCGTGACTTCCACAGGGGCTTGTAGTTGCCTCTTGCTCTTTTTCTTTGTCTATTCCTGGGGAAAGCCGCTGATATTTCATCCTCCCGTAGTACATCATACCTGCCGTCAGTTTCCACGGGCGTGTCTGTGAACATTGTCCTTTTTGTGGGCGGGGTCGTTTCCCGGAGCAAACAGGGCCCCAAATGACTTTTCCTGTGTCAACACGGGCGCAAACACGGGTCACCTACACCGCGCCCCCACAGCACATCTGTGAGCGGCGAAGGTTTTAGAGAGATGAGAGAGAGAGAGAGAGAGAGAGAGAGAGAGAGAGAGAGAGAGAGAGAGAGAGAGAGAGAGAGAGAGAGAGATGAGAGAGAGAGAGAGAGAGAGTGAGATTACGATCGCTCCGCTGTGGTGTATGTGTGTTTAGTGTGCGTGTGTGTGTGTTCAGTGTGGTGTGTTTGTGTTTATGTGCATGTGTTTAGTGTGTGTGTGTGGGGGGGGGGATTCATAACCTCAGGAAAAGGGATACTTTCGGCAAATGATTAGTGAGTGTCTGGAAGATTAATAAGCTTCAGGAAAAAGGATATTCTCGGGAAGTAATTAATTAAGGAATAAACAAAGTTATGTACGTTTTTTGTTACATGTTGTCAAGACCGTTTGTATATGTAGCTTGTAAATTGTATGTATTTCTTTCGAAGCTGACAGATGCTAATAGATGGCGCCTCGATGCGATTCTGTTTCGTGGCTCGTGTCTAATTAATTCGTCATTTTTCTTTTCAGGAAGGATCGTTGTCGAAGGAGACGAGCGACAGCGAGAAGGAAAATACGTTTCACGAACACCTTTTTGTCGGAGTTGTCGGAGGTCTCAGTGAATTTGCCTCGTTAGTGGAGGATGAGGGCGAGGATTGCGCCCGGGAGTACACGGAACGGCGCGTAAGTAGCCTCGCGGGTGAAGGAGGCGCCAGAGCTGCCGGAGAGAAGGACCTCCGGAGGGAAAAGAGTGGGAGGAGGAGGAGGAGGAGGGCGTGATGAGGCTGCTCCTGGGCCGGGCCGAGCGGAGGGCAAGCAGAGCGCGTGAGGTTACGAGATAAGCAGTGCTTTCCGCGATGGCTTTGAGGTTTCTCGGGCTCCTCGCGCTGGCGGCGGCGGGCTCCCTGCTGGCGGCGGCGGTGGAGGACGACGTGGCCGAGTACCCGGGCCTTGCCGAGGATTATCCGGAGCCGGTCGAAGTGTACGACTACGATTACTACGGCGGCGGCGGCATCCACTACCAGGTGGACGACGACTCCTACGTCCGCGAGGGCATGGCCAACGCCACCGCCTTCAAGTGCTTCTGCAAGGGCGACCAGGAGTGGGACGGGAGCGCGTGCAGCGACAAGAGCACGATCGTCGCGGTGATAAATATGCACACGTTCTCGCGGCTGGCGTTTAATACCACTGACTTCGGGCGCGTGTCCGTGGTGGGCCCCCCGCCGTGCGCCCCGCCGGCGCTGCCGATGCTGCTCGACTCCAGAGATGGATTTGAATTCTCGCTAATGGTCAATGGCAGTCTGTTCTGGAACAGCATGATTTACACCAATTACTGTATAGAGCACACGCCGGGTAGTAACTGGTTAGCTCACCTGTGCGTGCCCCCGCCCTCCGTCCCCACCTGCTGCCCCCCCGGCCACGTGCAGGCGAAGAACGGCTCGTGCTTCGCCCGCGGGGAGGGCGCCTTCTCGCCGCCCGTGCTCGTCGAGACGGAAGTCAAGTTCTGGGACGCGAAGGAGGTCGGGCCCCACGAGGTCGTCTGTCCCGACAAGTGGGACAAGCTGCGCCTGCCGCTGGACGACAAGAACGTTAGTCTTCTGTACCAGTCCGGCGTGACGCTCCTGAGGTGGCAGCCGCCCACGATTCAGATGCAGTATCCAAAGAAATACTGCGTGGCGATGGACGCGGAGTCGCAGGGCGGCGCCCCGCAGTACGTAGCCAACCTGTGCTTCCTGGACCCTCTCGTGGACCACAGGGAGACGTGCAAGAACAACACCTGCGTGCGGAAGTGCTGCCCCCTGGACGAGTACCACGGGGACACGTGTTTGCCCGCCTTTGAGGAGAAGCAGAAGTGGAAGCCCGTCTTCTACGAGCACCGCGGGAACGACGTCGTGCAAGCCGTGGACTTCACGGGGGAAGGGATGACGTATGTGATGGGCTATCCCCTGTGCAAGGAGTACTTCCTCATGGAACCTCACAAAATAGGAAGCGACGTCTTCCACCTCATGACCGACGGCACCCTGTACGTCCCGGTGTTCAAGCAGCACTTCCCGCCCGACCGCTACTGCATGGACAACTTCGTGGACCCCGAAGACCACGAGATCCGCATGCAGCCGCTCGTCTGCTTCCACGAAGAGGCCGTCGAGAGCAAAGCCTGCGCCGCCATGCAGTCGTACCTCTACCCGATCCTTCTGCTGGTGTCCTGCGTGTTCCTGGGGATCACGCTGCTGGTGTACGTCAGCGTCCCGGAACTCCACGCCAAAGTCCACGGGAAGTGCCTGGTCTCGCACGTGTCGGCGCTGTTGCTCGCGTACTGCAGCCTCATCACCGTGCAGTGGGCCACCAACACCCTGCCCTCCGTCGCCTGCAAGATCATGGGTGAGGAGGCGATGCGCGCGGAGGAGTCTGGGCGTGTGAATGAGTGTGTGTGTGTGAGTGGGAGGGCGATGGTGGGGGAAAGGGAGAGGGAATGTGACTGGAAGGGAGGCGAAGATGGAATGTGAAGGAGAGGGAATGTGACTGGCAGGGAGAAAGGGGAGAGGAATGTGACTGGCAGGGGAGAAAAGGGGAGAGGGAATGTGACTGGCAGGGAGAAGGGGAATGGAGTACTGGCAGGGAGAAGGGAGAGGGAGGAAAGAGAGGAGAGAGGGGAGGAGAGAGGGAGATTAGGTGAAAGAGGGAAAGGGACGGAGAGAGGGAGACAGGGAGGGAGAGGGAGAAGGAGGAGGAAAGGGAGGGAGAGAGGAGAGGGTGAGAGAGGGTGGAAGAGAGGGAGAGAAGAAAGGGAAGGAGAGAGGAGAGGAGGGATATAGGGAATTAGAGGGGGAGGGAAGGAATAGGAGAGGAGAAAGAGGTAAAGGAGAGCGGGGAGGGGAGGGGGGAGGAAAAGGGGAAAGAGAGGGGGTGGGAGGGAGAGAGGGAAAGAAAAGGGGAGGGAGGGAGAGAGGGAGAAGAGGGGGTGAGAGTGAGAGAGGGAAGAAGGGAAAAGGAAGGAGAGATGGAAATAGGGAGGGAGGGAGTGAGGGAATAATAAGGGAGGGTAGGAAGAGGGAAAGATAGGGGGAGGGAGGGAGGTAACGAAAGAGAAAGGATGGAGATGGGAGAGTGAGAGTGAGAGAGTGAGAGTGAGAGTGAGAGTGAGAGTGAGAGTGAGAGTGAGAGTGAGAGTGAGAAGAGAGGGGAGGGAGAGAGAGGGAGAGGGAGAGGGAGAGGGAGAGGAGAGGGAGGAGGGGAGAGAGTGAGAGGGAGAGTGAGAGAGGAGAGTGAGAGGGAGAGAGAGAGGGAGAGGAGAGGGAGAGAGAGAGGAGAGAGAGAGAGAGAGAGGAGAGAGAGGGAGAGAGAGAGAGAGAGAGAGAGAGAGAGAGAGAGAGAGAGAGAGAGAGAGAGAGAGAGAGGAGAGAGAGAGAGAGAGAGAGAGAGAGAGAGAGAGAGAGAGAGAGAGAGAGAGAGAAAGGAGAAAGAACGAGATTGAAAGAAAGAGAGAAAGAGAAAGAACGAAAAAGAAAGAAAGAGAGATAGAGAAGTAGATTAAGAAAACTAACAATAGGATTATCAACAACAACAAACCCTTAAACCAAAATGAAACCGTAGTCCGAAAGGGTTCGAACCGAAGAGCGAGCTAAAACAACACTCTCCTTTGCAGCGTCTCTCACCCATGTGAGTTTCCTGGCGGCCTTCTTCTGGCTCAACGTCATGTGCTTCGACATCTGGTGGACGCTCAAGTAAGTATTATTTTCTTATACTTTTTTTGGGAAATAAAACAAAGGAACGAATTGGATTGTAAAAAAGGGGATCTGATTATATGATCAAACCAAACAAAAAATCATAAATGAATTGATGGCAAAGTTTTGATTCGAAGAAAAAGCAAAATATAAACGAAAGAATTTCTGTATAGACGACAAAACGAAAAGAGAATTACATAAAATATATAAATAGATCTGGATATATGATAAACAACAAAAAGGATCTGAATATATGAATAAAACAGAAAAAGGATCTGAAAATATATGATAAAACATCAGAAAAAGGATCTAAAATAGATAAACTAAAACAAAAACGAGAGAATATCGGGATATATGCAGGACAAACTAAAAAGACAAATATAGATGAATGAAAAAAAACTCGATTGGGGTGA